CCAATGATTAAACACTGACAAACAAATGAGAGCACCAGTTCTCAAGAAACAAGAAAGGAGTTCAATAATTACTGCAAAATTTAACAACAGTGTCCCCATAAAACCCTGCAAAAATCTAATTTATCATTCCTATGCAATCCCTAAACCAAGATTTTCAAAGAACCTTAAATACCATTTTCTCTGCCTTCAAGGCTATAGCTCTGCACCCTACTGATGCTCCAGTTTATCAGAAAATGATGCTAACCATGGTTGGTATCTTATCTCTGTAATCCCCCAGATTTAGGCCAAGGCTAGTGATGTGCTATGGGTATGAAAAATGTGTTTTGCTGTGGAAACAACCACATACAATTTGGTGAATAGCCTGAATAATTGGTATGTAATAATTATGGTTGCTAGTACCAAATGTTGTTTCTCTGGAAAAAAAAGGGGCAAATCAGAATTTTATAAGAGCCCTTATCTATTAAACATCAGACTAAAAGTTGGTTCATATGCATCTTAACAGATATACAACCATGAGATATCTGGTCAAAAAGCATGTATGGCTGAATAAATCTGGTTTTCCCCTTCATGAACCCTTTCTGTCCTCTTGGTGTACCCTTTCCTACAGAGGAATACACAGCAATATCCCTGGCAGGCAAGGTGAAAGGATGATGTAGCCCAGCATCTTCCATCAGCCCATTTCAATCAGCAGACACCTCAAGGAGGACACAGAAAGCAGAGATGTTTTCCCAGAACATTCTCCCAGCCTCCATGCCTCTCAGCCTTCCCCTGAGCGCTGACCCCAGGAAAGTCTGTTCGTCAAACCTCCAGCAGTGGCTACGGGTGCTTTTGATGACTGAAGTCCAACACACGCCCAAGCCTCAGCAGAACCCCTTGAAGCTACCTGCTGCAGTAAGCCAGCACAACACTCAGGAGACAAGAACTGCTCATGAGCCTTCAGTGCTCCCGGTCCTGTCCTGCCAGCCCTCCCTTTGGGCATACTCCCATACAGCAGTCTCCTCAGGAGAAAGCCGTGCTGCTGAACAGAGCTCCCTCCACAGGAAGGGCAGAGCCCCTCTGCTCTTTCCCAGCCCCCAGGCAGCATTGGTGCTGCCACCTCCACCCAAAAACACAACCTCACCAAGCCTAGAGGGGCTTAGTAACAGCAAAAGGAAAGAGCCTCTTATCCTCTCTTAAAGCTCCCTTTGCCTTAAGCTCTTCATTCAAAAATGTTCCCATACTTACTTATTAAAGCAAATGAAAAAAGGGTTGGTTTTTTTTTTTTTTTCCTATTTAGAGAAACTGAAGTGTGAACACTGTAAGATGTTATAGTTCTTTCTGGGACTTTGGTGTTAACATTTTGAAAAGGTGCATTTTCATAATTTTTATTGCACAGCACCACATCCCTAATGCTTTGAAAAACTCAAACAAAAAACCCAATACACCATAAGCAACAGTTAACATTTACTATTCACTTCTGCTTGTTCTGACAGATCTGTCAACCAGGAACCTTTTCAGAGCTCTATTTTTTGTGAGTATGGCTAAGACTATACTTCCTCACCATAGCATATGCTATATTTTAATGTTAATTTTACTGTTCTTTCATGTCATTTTTCCAAATCACATCCATTTAAGCTTTTTAAGCATACTTAAACATATAAATGTACTAATCGTTGTTATTAGACCTATCTTCTAAGAGGCTAAGTATATTGAATTACTACATCAGGCACTAGGAGAAACTCTTCCAAAACTCCTGAGGTCATCAGTATTTAAAGAGACTGGATTTTACAGTATGCATTAAAATTGTTGTTACACACCTACAGCATTCCCTCATGTGCCCCGGTCCCTAATGACAGCATACAAGTTACACTGAGACACAGCTTGTTCTGCTGTAATGTCACAAGGTTGGCTTTCCCTGCTGACATATGTGGGCAAGTGCCCTTAAAAAACTTTAAATTATAAGAATAAGCTAAAATAAATATTGGCCACTCTCTCTCCACAGAGAGATTTCTCCTGTATGAGAAATTTCTCATTCCCCTCTGCACAACGCCTGTGAAAGAGGTTCACAGGTGTTGCCACTTTGTCAGCTGCACCATACAGCTCACGAGAAGCACTCTAATGCTCTTTGGCACTGTGAACATAGCCACATTTCTGCTGCTCCCAGCTAGCCATTATACAGACTGTTCCCTAGATGAGAAGTTTATTCCTGCTTCTGTAAAAATTCAGCCTGAGAAACACCAAGCAAGCTCTTCAGCTTCAGGAAGGAGCAGGCACGCAGGCTGAAAATACTAGGTGCTAGGCGAGCTGCTCCCTTCTGCTTTATCTGTGAACACAGGCATTTTGGAAGTGTGTATCTGCCCGAACACATCCTTCAAAGGAGAGCAGTATCTCCGTGCACCAAAAGCCGAGTGACGGAGCTGCTGTACCTCCAGAGATACCTATCACTGCTCTCCCGCGGCAGGACACACGCTGGATGGGCCAGCGGTGTCCTTAACACGGGCCCGCATGAAGCTCCAGGTGTGGCCGTGTCCCCAGTGACGCCAGGGACACAGGGTGTTCCCGGCTCTGAGAGCAGATTAACGCGCACAGCTACATGTGTGTTTACTTGACTGAGATCCACATTTAGACGTGTATACAAGTGAACAATCCCGAGCTGTTTACTGGGACAAAACTCCCCCTGAATGCAGCGGTATCTGTCTGCCTCTACAGCTGAGGATTAAACCCTCAAATCTTCAGTGCCCACGTGCACATTTCTAAATCATCAAAGAAAAAGGAAAAGTGAACATGCCCATGTGACAATGGATCTCTCCAACACCTGGCTACATTTGGATTCAGAGAGCATGTGTGCCTTTTTAACACTGCCAAAAGAAGGACTAAGGCTCAGCCCATCTTTTTTGAACAGGAGCTCCTAAATCTTGTTATTCTATATGCAAAGTAAATTTCTAGCTCTGACTTTATAAGGCAAAACAATTTTTCTGAAATCACACAGGAGGAACATACACTTATTAAAATAAATTTACTGTCAACTCCTAAAATATCTAACTGTTTCCATGTGGAAAGAAAAGCCATCTTTATTGACAGTGAAATGTGTTCTCCAGCTGGCTGAATAGTGCTCAGCCCAACACCTTTTGCAATTCTTATGTGTCCTCCCTAATCTTGGGGCCAACCCCAGCATCAGCTACTTCTACTTCTTCATTCATATTTGGATGGCTTATCCAGGACTCCAAATTCCATCACTGTGTAGCAAGCTTGTTGCTTTTCTCCATCGTTAGTCAAAATGTGTTGAGGTTAACCTGGTTTATTCGGCAACCATACTGTTTGGTCAAACCATACTAGGATTTCTGGCTTTGCATCCATCTGTCAAAAATGCAGTATATCATACATGCCCCCAAGAAGTGCTCATATTCCCAGTACTATAAAATTATTTGCTAGATGTCAGTAGTATCACCACTCTATTGCTCTGAAAATTCTCCAAGTATGGCATTAGCTAGACTGTAGCCATTAAAACATTGATCCTAAGAACACAAGGTAACAAACCAGACTACAGACTACAGCCATTAAGTGACCAGGAAATCTGTCTCATAACACACATTAACTAGTAAAAGTTAATTTTCCATTAAATTAATCAGATTAAAAGACGGTGTTGCAAGAAATCATGTGTAGGCAGCATGACTTTTTCTATGACAACTGGATAACCTGGATTCATGGAAAAGATGATAGTATAAGACAATTTAAACACTATTTCACGTAAGTGAGATAACTACGTCAATTCTAATACTTTCCCTTAAAATTATTCTTCTGTTTCTTCAAAGCAGATAGTATTTCACTGGAAGATCATACATAACCAGGGAACCATAACAGAAAAAATCAGTATAGTCTATTGAGTAAGTTTACAAACATACTGAAGTGACTATTTTGTCATCTCTACCCTTCAGCTTTTCAAAGCCATGCCAGGAACAAATTTGCCAAAGAACATGAGTAACAGTTTGAAAACTGTGTTTAAACTGTGTAGAAAGTGTCAAATTAGACAAACATCTTTCTGAAAATGAGTTACTAGCTCCATAAGTAAAGTACATAAGTAAAGCTCCGTAAGTACACACAGTGTTCTACATATAAGTACCTGTGCAAGCACAAATATTTAGAAAATAATCAGCATAAACACAGTGACATGGCACAAGCTGCTATGAAGTACACTTTCAAAACATACAAATAATCTAGGCTGGTAAATGGTAAACATTATCAAATACACTCTCTTCAACAGTGATGCAAAACTAATGCATATTTTAACTACAGACAATTGTAGAAACAACTTGTGTGGAAGTATTAAAAACCATCAGCATGAAAATACTGGTTTCTGAAACTCCTTCCTAACATTTCTATTGTTGTCTTTAATTCTGGATACCTGGAGCATGTTTTCAAGGCAAATGTAAGGACTTTTAATTGAGGGGCTACTAGCAATAACAAGAATTTCAGAGCACTCTGAAAATGCGCTTTCATTGTGTGCTGCCTCCCCCACCCTAAATAAACGCCTATATTTGTTACAGAAATCAGAGCAACAGCGGCACGTATTTCAAAGGTGCAGTCAATCTGAAGTCGTGCCTCACGCTTATCTCGTCACGAGGCTGCAGCAGCCAACTTTATTGCCTTCAGACATGTCGGCACTGACATACACCCCCGCGGCCGGTGGTTTCCCTTTGGAAGGGTGCTTCCATTGGCGTCACCATCGGGACGCCTCCCGCCACTGACATGGCTCGGCCGCACGTTTGCAGGACTGGCCTTTTAAAAAGTCGACCATACAAACTGGGCAGTGACCAGAATGAGCCGCAGTTATACAAGAAGCAAGGAAATATTATGCAAGACCACAGGAAGTCAGAGGAGACAGCATTCTGGGCAGGCCTGGCAAGGAGTCTGTGTGAACTTCAGCTAACAAGCAAAGCCCGGTCATTGGCGCCAAATTCAGCAGAGAACATTCCCAGTGCTGCAAAGGATAACACTCCCCATGCTTTTGCCAGTGGGCTGCATTCCAGGACGCCCTGTACCTGATGAAATGCAGATAAACCCGGGTCTTACTTTTTGCCAAGTTTTCACTTATTTTTAAAATTTGAGGCATATTTTGGTCCAACACTTGTTAGAAGTGGCAAATGGTTTATTTTCATGGCTTTGCTAATAGATCACTTGCTCTTATGCTCCCTGTAATTGCAACTACAATAAGTGACCTACAAAGAAAACGTTTGGCAGAAGCCGCATTTTTTCCACACGTCTTGCCCATCACTACCTCAAGGCTCTCTGCTAATAGGATATATGAAGAGTATGGATTCCTTTTCCCTTGGCATTTTGGAATGGCCTATGAAAATACCCTTGGTGCAAAAGGATGACACCCACCTTGCACATAAATAACTATTTTAGTCTACTTCAACAGCAAAAGTAATTATTTTGGGAGTGGGGTTTGGTTGTTTTTCTCATTTTTGAAAGCTACCTCATACGGATCCTAATTGGAGAAGACATCCATTAAAATGTAGCAAACTTGATTTCCCAAATGACTGAAAAAATTGGCCATAATTCAGTAAATATTCATCGATTAGCAATGCATGAGTTCAGAGAGGTTTTATGCTTTGTTCCAGGATTCACCTTTAAAACATCAGTGATAAAATGCTGGAGGTGGAAATCCAGTTTTAGGTTCACACACACATACTGCCAAATAAGAAGCACAGCATGCAGAGTGTTACACAACACAAAACAATTACCAATTGTGATGAGAGTAGACAAAGCGTTCTCAAGAGAATCTATTTTATGTTTGTAATCACCCTCAAAAAACACACAATAGTACTCTCCTTCCAGCAAATACATAATACAAACAAAAACCAAACAGTAGTACTCCTCAACTGGGGGAAGTGATTCTGAGAAGTATAAGAGATCTTCAGTAGATACTGATTGCCAAAGCCAATGAACCAATTTTAAAAGTTTTCATCATTACCTTTGCTTATGGGAACATAATACACAACTCTTAACAGGAGATTCCCGCCTTCAATGCAGTTTGCACATGAAAAGGTTCCCATAACATACTGCTCTTGCAAAAATAATTAAACAAGCCCTGCAACAACACAGGAAAGTGAAAATGTTAGTGGTGACAATGCCTTCATTGTTACAGCCAGTATAACAATGCCCAAAATTAATCACAACCCCAACAATCAACACCAACGCACACACAGTTGGGCCTCTCCAACCAAAACAGATCTTTCTACAGCCAGATCCAGAGTTAAAGCTGTTAAGAAGTGAAGTTGTTTCTCCAGTTGAAGCCAGAGATCCCCACCCAGCAGAAACAAGTCTAGCTGCACTTCTCAAGGCCTGAGTGAAGTATACGTTGGTGGTTTTAATGTAGCCAGTCTACCATAGCCCACAGTATTGAGTGTTTGTATTAATCATAGTAGCACAGCAGTTTCTTCACCCAAAACCAGTAAGGTCTAAGCACACTGAAACACTCGGAAACGCCCAGAGTAAGGATCAGCCTTTTATCTCTATCTCTTTCTGCCAAATAGCAAGGCAAATAGCTCACAGTAAGTTTTTAAAACATCACAAGGGTTAACTAGTGAACCACACTACAAAAGCAACAAGCTGTTGTGCCAACAAGGGCGATAGCAAAAACACACTCCTCCAGATTCTGCAGACTCCTGGTGGATCTTGGAACCAATGGCACAACAAGCTGCGAGCATGTAGCTGGCTGACACCTGGACTTCTTAAGCCATAGCAACTCTTTTGTCTCTACAGGTAAACGGACTTGTGGCTGCAACTTTTCCCTGTAGCCATTACAATATCTACTCCCAGTTATTTAATACCCTTGAGATTGCTACAGCTCTATCAGACACAGAGGTAGACATACTATAACTGCGTAAACCTTGATCCCTTAAGGAAGCAAGCTAGAAGGGGATAATTCATCTAATCACTGTCTCATCATCTGTTAAAGTTTCTTTTGATTTCCAATTAGTTCACTGAGCCATAATCCTTATCCAAACTTCCTATATGCAATCCATATTCAGCAACAGCAAACTATAATATACCTCCAATCACAAGCACAGTAAGATATTTACTTCCTCTGAGGTGGGAGGGGAGATTGTTTTGACTCTCAGGAGCAAGTATATCTCTAGGTTGAGGCCTTCTCTTTACCTTCCTTTAGTACATTGATTTCATATTCCACAGCTTCACTAAAACATCTCCTGATATAAGGGCAAACACAGCACAATTAAATTTATTTTCCCACCAAATATTCCTTCTTACAAGTGTGAATCAGAACTGACTTCCTATACAAGTAACAGTATAAGAAGAGATGTTTGTTTTACTTTCCTCATACCTTGCAAAGCTATTTCATTTGCTCAATCCACCAGCTAAGACCTGAAGTGAAATGATGATGAAACCCTCTTTTAAGAGGGATGAAGGTTTAGCTGACATTTTATTTTCCTCAAAGGCACTTTCACAAAACAGTATCCAGGAATCTGAGGCAGGAACTGAACTCCATTTTGATAAAAGTTCTAGACATTATGAACATGGAGGCTTTTTTGCTACAAAAGTCAGATTAATTAACGTAATTAAGGTAAACAAAGAGAAACTTAGGAAAACAAACCAACAGGAGCACACAGCCCAAATGACTCAGTAGGCCCTTTCCCTGGCTGTAACCTACACAAAATGCAATATAACATGAAATCATTTTATAGTTGCACTGTATTCACCACATGACTCCCTCCAAAGGAATGCTCTGTAATGACTTCACATTGGCAGCATTTCTTTTTAAAAGGTTTTAACAGGTCAGGTGGCAGGCACTCTTCCTCTTTCAGCTCTGCCTTTAGGTGGACTTCTTGCTCCACATTAGCTGTCACTGCACCCAAAATCCCTACTATGACCTACATGCCAATTTTGCTCCCTGCTCCTTTTATTCCCCGCATTAGAAGAGCACTGACAATTTCCTATTTGAATAAGCACAATTTGCTGTCATCTGCTTCCTTTAAAATACTTTTTAAAAATGTCAGAAAGCAATAGTGCTGGTCACTGGTTCATTGCTTCATATCTGCCATTTGAGAAGCTGGAATTTAGTTATACCATGTTTACAGTGACATTTAGGTTTGAGGGGCAGGGGATGTTGTCCTATGATTTGGTAGGCAAAGGGAAAGAAGTGTTATACAGATAACACAGTTTCTTGCAATATCTTCTTCAGGGCCTGCGCACAGTGTGCAAAGCTGCCAAATTTGTCTAAAATGTTAGGCTTTTCTCACTACACTAAACACTCCATGGGCTCTGCCTTGAGGCCCACCCTGGCACCCATATTCAAGAGAAGCCTTAACTAATGAGGATCCACAGGCTTCAGTCTCCGTGAATGAGATTGCGTATTCTGACCTCTAAACCCATGTCCCAATAACCCTGTATATCAGCACTCTTCTACTTTCTTGCAGTTCAAAGGAACTGAGAGCAAATGATTGCTGGCTGAAACCCTGCTGAACTCCCCATCTGCAGAAAAGACCGGTTTTGTTGTGACGGTCAAACCCACCTTTTCACTCTTATTGCCCTGTGGGTTGCTCACCTGCCTGCTCCATGATGAAATCTGAAAGAATAAAGGGTTTATCATCTCTGAGATGCTTTCAGGGTGTTGCAATCTCCTGCTGCCGCCACCAACACCCCCACCTTCTCAATTGCTTGGGGCATCTAAATTGCACATGGATCTTATATGACAGGAGGACAAATTCAAAGGTGAAGCAAACGAAGGCGTAGGTCACCTGTCAGCACGTGGGTGTAACCTACATATTGAGGGATAATATGGAGTGCTGCAGTAAAGAAAGCAATTAACCAGGTAATATAGGAGTGAGAGATAACCAAACTCCTTCCACTTGACAACCTCCTATTAAAGCATTTTCAGGTTAGGTTTATTTTACAAGCTTCTTGCCAACGTATCTACAGCATTGTGTTAGGCATAGAAATAGAAAGCCCCTATTTTAAAAAGTTTACAGTTTAAATAAATAAGACACACAAAGGGTGGAAGGAAGGATGTACTACCATCCCAGTTTTCCAGACTGAGGAGCTAGGATAACTACAGTGATCAGTCACACCACACTGTCCAGGCTACATTATCAACGTAATGCCCTGAGTACTCTGCAGAACAAAGAGCCAGGCTGAGCAAGGGGCTTTCAGAGAGGGTGTGAAGGGGAAAGGAGACAGAAGAAGCAACTGCAGAGGCCAGACCCCACTTGCTAAAGCTGTTGCTCAGCAGCCAGGTCAGCAACTAGATGCTACTTTCACAGCCAGCTTTACTGAGAGAACAAGCTCAAGAGACAGAACCTAAAACATTATTTTATTCAGCTTTACTGTGCTTTGGCCCAGGTCCTCATGCCAGAGAGGCTTTGTTTGGGCCAGTCATGCAGCTGACAAACAAAGTAGGGTTGGGGGGGGTTGGTTTTTCTTAAATGGGAAATAATGGCTATTTCGAAACACCAGCATTAAGTTTCCCTCAAGATATCTCCACTTGCTTCTATTTCATTTACAAGCCAGCACATGCCTAAGCGAACGGCATAGTCCCCTTTTGTGAATCACTGGCAACATAAATATGGCTTTGCTGTTACGTAAAAAAGCCAGTAGAAGCATTGAAACAACCTGAACACAGAAAGGATGTTCCCATAAAAATGTCCCTCTGATTAGTAATGGAAATAAACACATCCTTCAAATCATTCACAGGGAAAAAAAAACAAAAAACCAGATTTATTAACACAAACAGATAATCTTACAGCTGCAGCACAAAGGCAGCCCACCCACAGCTGAACCAAGCAATGTTCCTTCAGTGAAATGTGACATCTTCCACCTAATCACGCCCATAGAAGTGCTGCATTAAGCAATAAAGGGGATCAACACCCCCAAATGTCTACCTTCCCTTGAAAGCATAAATAGCACCATTTTGTTAAGACCAAGTGTAATAATCTGTCTTGAGGCATTGGTTTCCTGCTCTGCAAGCAAAATTCAGACTTCCCATGTGCAAAAACTGGCAAACTCCAACTTTCTGCATTCTTTGATGTGCAAGACAACCTTACAGGACAACGGGAACTGTCTCCCAGATCAAAATGGGGATTACTGGAAGAAGTAAAACAAGAGCCACATTTGTCATGATTTTCCTTTGCGACAGAGGAAAGGGAAAAACCAGCAGTAGGCAAAGCTTTGCTGCTCTTCCAAAAACCATATGGTGAAGGCAATATGCAGAGGTTATTCCAAAATGCTTACCCTTTCCCAAATGCTCTACACCTTCACTGAATTAGACAAATGAAGCTTTTCCAGAAGAATCATCTGGCAAAAACTATAGGAAAATACCAAAAGCACTTTCACCAGTTTGCAATCTTCTCTCACAGGCTATAAAACACAGTGGAGGCAACTGAAACCTTAAAAAAAAGAAACTGGAGTGGAATATAGCTGTAACTTGTCACTGGATTTGTATTCCAGAGAAATACCACCTAAGAAATCATGGCATGATAAAGCAATTTAATGTTTAATTTCTCCTCACACATCCATGTATGACGCTGACATTCCACAGATCACTCAAAAGGCATTTTTGTTCTAAGCAAACTTCCTATCAACTTTAAGTCAATACTCATCATAAATACCTAAGAGTCTGAAGACACTGTCATTGCCATCAGCTAATGAGTTTGTTATTTCATCATAATGCCACACAAAAATCTAACCAGGAACAACAATGCTTATCATCTCAGAAGATACTTTGCTATTTGCAACGACTTTTGGATACAAATTGCACAGAGAGCTAAAAGCTGGGAACATTCCTAGCAACATTCCCTATTTACAAGTGTAGAAATAAAGAGTGGGATGGTTTCTTAACGTCTCAATGATCTTTGAAGTATTTTGACAATAAGTACCCAATAATACCTAGAATTTACTGGCAGAAAGGGTGATACAATTGTGAATGAACAGACAGGGCCTGAAGACCAACAGCAGCCAGAGAATGTCCCAAACACAATGGCCGAATAGGACTGCTTTGTAGTTTATCATACAAATACAAGTGCAAACGACTACAGCTGTGATACCATGAGCTTAAGCAGTTTAAGCACCTTTTTTATGGCAGTAAATACCTTAGATATGCTAAGGGTGAAACAAAATACAAGGAATGTTCTTTAAAGCATACTTCCACCACCTTTATAAAAGCTGCCTAATAAGCACCCCTCTTCATACTTGCTTCAGCTTATTACCTAAGCAAATATTTATCTTACAAGAGCATATCTTAAGTGAAAAATAGTATACAGTAATTTTTGAACACCAACAGAAAGCTTGCACCAAAATTATGAGCCCTTAATGATTTTTTTTCCATGCAGATTAAAAAAAGTTCATAAGGCCTCTGCCACAACAAATGAGCAACAGTGTTCTCTTTTAAGAAGAGAAGAGTAGGGCACATTTTTAAGATCTCATGCAACTTATTCAGGCCACTGGACTGGGCTCTTAAATTGAAACCATTCAGCAAACCACTTTCTGTGTATTAAATAATATATATATATATAATTGACTCAGAAGCTGACTCCATGAAGACAACACATGTACTAGGCCAAAGGTGGATATCACCTGGGATGACTATATTTCAAGATATAATAATATCTGCTACTTAAAGCAATAGCTTTCCTGGAAAAGGTAGACATGTCTATCTCTCAGCATATGCAGGCAGATTTTCAAGAACATGGCTCTGAAATTATCAGTCCTTTGAGAACAAGTTAGAAATTCTGTAAACATGCTCTTTTCATCTCTTCGATATTTTGACTTTCTCGTCTGTCATGTCAGGAGCCAGTGAGGAGTTATGGAGGGCCATCATTGCGATGCTTTCAATTATACTACAGTCTTTAAAAAGCTGTTCACATAACCAAAGCTAGAGAAGACCTTTGTCATTGCCAAGTCACACTTCCTGCCTAACTCAAGCCAAAGAGGACTAAGTATTTTCATCAGACCTGGTAACTCGTCTAAGCAACTGCAGTTATTGAAAGACTGGGGCTGTTTTGAATTCAAGGCTTTAAGTAGTGAGGGCCTTGTAAATAATGTAAAAGGAAGAGCCAATATTTTGGTTTAGCAGATAAATCTGAAGATTTCTCCTGAAAGGAAGACAGGAATCTGATTGAGGTCAAGCCACCAAATCAGACACATATATGTGTGTCGTAGACTTTGGTACAGTAAAGATCTGGAAAAACACCCAATTAAGTCTAACACCAGAAAAGAAAGACAAAGAAAAAAGGAATAATGTTTCACCAGTCTCCATATGTCTTGACAATTTCTCGACCCAATCCCTTCATTTTAGTCTAGCTCAAACTAGAACACTAGCTCTTGTTTCCCTTATGCTTTGGAAAATTATTTTCCAAGAAAATATTTGTTTTTACAGAAAATATTCACCAAATGCATCTGCAGCTTTTCCAGGACTTGGTAGCCCATTGTTCAAAATTTGCACTCGATATCTTACATTCATTTGCCTAACTTTGACCGCATATATTTTGATATATTAGATAATGAGTAACAAATATTTACAATAGATTAAAGTCACGTTTCAGTAGTTGCAAATAATTTCTAAATGACCCCAGTAACCTTACTACATATATACCTTCAGACTGCCTGCTATGAAGTGCCATAAGTTACACCCACATGATTCATCCATTAGGAGAGATGCTCTGTTTAAACAAAAAATAAACCCAAAACCCAACCACACCCCAAAAAAAAGTCACCATGCACAACACTCCTCATATCACTTCTAATTTTAGCTTTTCCTTAGATAACACAATTTCCTGAAACAAAGAGACTGATCACACTCTTCTAGCTCCAAAATGTTATTGTCAAAATATTGTTGACAAGTAGTTGAATGCACACAATATTACATATCCAAATATAAAGATATAAAGCTGCCAGGGCTGTGGAGAAGGAGGTGAAAACAACCAGGAGTTACGTTTTTTTTTTTTTTTTTTTTTTTAACTTTCTTTGTTTGTGGGGAAGGAGGATTTAAAGAATGAGGCAGCCAACAGAGAGCAGTGTAAGACCCTGCACTCATCCCTGTTCTCTTATATACCTGAAAAACACAAGCAAATGAATCCCAGCCAAATCCCATAAAAGTCCACTCATTCTCTCCATCAAATTCCTGCTTTACAGACTGTCCAAATTCTGGCCTGGAGGTTTCATTCATGCAGGTCAGAACTGGGATTTAGGGACATACTTGAGAAGTAGGGACTGGAAGAATAGCCAGGCACAGGCAAGATGCAGTTTGAGAGGTGTTTCTTGTTGGAAACACAATATGCTGCTGAAATCTCTTTGACCAAAGAGTCAGTTTGGTTCTACAGATTTTCCACAAATACCTGAGATTAAAACACATGCTACTTACTGTTTGTTTGAAAGCAAATCAGTGCATAAATACATACACAGCAGAATGAAGCAGCATTTGTAACTTGGGGGGTGATTCAACATATTTACGTTAGTAATCAAAACGACTGAGGAGCTGTATTATCCTGGTTTTGTCCTACTTGAGAGCACAAACAAAAGAGAAAAGTGGTTTTTCCTCCTGCTCAAATGCACAGATTTTGTTTATAAAGCTGCAACAAACCAGTATAAATCGTCCACCCATAGGCTAACATGACGTATGTGTAAAGTTTCTGAATTTTTCAAATGTCTTGGAGGCAACACCCTAAACAGTCCCCTAAATCAAAGAAAACTGCTGATTCCACATATTAGCACACAGAGAAAGGGTCAAGACCAGGGCACCTCTTTGACTGAAGATCAGACATAAAAATTCAACTAAATCAACTTTGCCTCTTGTCTGGCAAAATATTTGATGACTTTCTATAAAAGAAATACTGAATCTCTTCTGTGTCACATAAAGCAATGGACAGAGAAGCATAATAGAGATGTTAACCAACTCCAAATGCTTTGTAATAACAGTCAAGTAAATTAAATTACAAGTCTAACTGTTTTCAGGCCCAAATACGCCAATTTAATCAAAATTTATTATGGTAGATTTTGTTTCAGCTAAATTTTCTAGACCTAAATAAAGTCACAGAGGAAAGAACCAAAATCATAATTAGATTTGAGCTGAAGAAGAGCATAATTAGGTGAGTTACTTCGGAACACTACTTACTTATCTGCCAATTGGCTTACTGTACTTTATTAAGCTACTTTCCAAATGCATAATAAAATAATTTCCCATTTTACAGACTTCAGAAAGAGTCTCCATGAAAAATAGCACTGTAAATGTAAGAAATAAGTTATTTTTTTAATATATAAGCAGTTAGGGTTTTATCCTCACCAGATAACTACTTTATTATATTGCCTTTTAAACAAATTGAGCACAAGAATGATAAATAAGAGAAAACCTGTGTGATGCTTAATATTCACACTTGCACTTTCCCTTCATTTAAGAGAAGGGTTCTGTCAACCTTGTGCCAGCTACTAGGAGTAGAACTATTTATAACTATTAAGATATACATGTCACGATGAATATTGGAGTAATTAACACAATAGCATTTCACAAATAGCTTTAGCAGAATAAAACCACTCCACATATTTAATTTAGTTTTAAATACAATCTGCCTTTGTATTGCTCATTTCCTTACTCTAATATTTATCCTAAGAACAGCAAAAAGTTTAATGCTTGAAAAGTTCTGCCCCCACCACACCTAACAGCAGCTCCTGCTTGGAACCTGAAAACAAAAATACTATTTATGAATCCATCATAGTAAAAAATATTAGACCAAGATATAGAGAAATCCATTTTTGATACTCACGATGGATCTCCCGAATTCGCAGCATAAACACAAAACTGGTAATTAACAGAGTACCTCAAATATGCAAGACATTCTTAATGACCCACACAAGATAAATGTGACAGAGATGCAGAGAAAAGGACACGACACAAAGACTGTGTTTATGAAGGGCTGACAGATTTTTAACTTGCTGTAACACAAGCAGAGGCAGCCCTTGAAGCATCCCAGTGAAACACAGATCCTCAGATGCTTCAGATCACTTTGGGAGGATGGTACACACTGGGAGGCACTCACACTGCACACTATCCCCAAGCAAAAGGCATTCAGTCTTCATCAAGCTGAAATACTTTGGCTCTGTCGAGATGAAACCACAGGAGGTGGGCAGCAGAAGTTGAGAGTTCCCAAGCAGGCCAGGTCACCAAGCCAGAGCTCAGCCCAACCTGTGCTCCATGTCACTGCAGGCAAAGGCAGAGCCTGTACCCTTGGGCCACCCTCTGGTAGAAAAGCCAGCCATCTGTAGAAAGTAGAAGGGGCAGTGAGTACAGAAACAGAAGGGGAATAGCAAAGTAGGAGGGCTGTGAGTGGCCAGGGTCATTCAAGATGACCTGCAAGCTATGAAGTGCCTGAATTTGTGGTGCTGAAACGTAAATACGAATTGCTTAATGTTAACACACTATAAGCGTGTGCTAAACAGCCAATTTCAACACATTTCCCACCAGGAATTCAGGAGATCACATTTCCTTTTGATAACTACAAATAAGAAGCACTGCAAGGGCAGATGTGAACACAAGCAAAGAGAAGTAAATAAAATACATGGGCTATGCATGAGGAGATGTTGAGCAATAATAAAACTTGACCTTTTTTTTTATGAAGCTGGGTAATGTATGAAATAGTCTGCAATGGAAAGTGCTCAAAGCTCCATAAGCTAAAGTACATAAAGTGAGGTTTAAAAGAGTGTAAGAACAAACCCAAGTTGGCAAGAGAATGGACAAGATCATCGGTCACCACCAGCACAGGCAATAGGGAGCATACCTGGAAGTAGTGACACACAGAAAATGTACTGGGGAGAACAAAACAGACTGTATGTTTCTTGAAATCTCCAGTTTAACACCTTGGCACATCCAAATGCTCACATTTCCTGACATCCAAATTATATCCATTACAAGCAATTAACTACCTGAGCTCTGGAGAGCTGTGCCATCAGGACAGTTTCCTCATCCTGAGGAGGAACAGCCAAGAGTGACTTCAGCTTGGCAAAACTACTCTCCTGAAGGAAAAGGTCAGCAAAAATTGAGGCACAAAGCATCTCATTAGAGGGGCTCAACATCAAATAAAGCCCAAAGTAAAAGGGTAAATGAAAGCAGTCTATTACCTAGACAATAACTGGGGGCAATCCCATTTCTTTACTATCTGGGCCAGAAAAAGTTAAACAGATTTTTGTAATGTTATATGGTTATGGTCACAAAATATATTGTGCAATTACATGGGGACCACTAGCACACCCTGAGCTGCAAAATTGGTTTATTTTTCATAAAACTGGAAAACAAACACAGAATTCCCAAGTACCAACACAACTGAAAAGGTGAAGCCAAATAATGCATCCTTCTCAGTGGTACTTGGGGCTTGTCCTGAGCCTGGTTTCAAACTTTTCTCAAATAGACACTGCTGTCTATCCAGAGATGTTCATTTAACACAGCAGCCAGTCCTAACAAAATAACTGTCTTGAAAATCACTAAAAAACACGACAAGATATTGTATCAGGCTACTCTAATTACATTGGGACTTACCTACTACTTGTCATTGTACTGCACAGCTGTACAGATCAGACACTTTTCCCTTTGCTTTTACTATTTGCTAAAATGTGTTATGCCCTTTTATTTCTCCTTCTCCCAGTTCCTAATTACTGGCATTCTAAGAGAGGATCTAATACTGTCTAGATAATTTTTTTAAATCAAAAGAGCAATCATATTAATCTCAACTCTGGATCTTGGACTAACTTTAAAGGTGGGAAATCAGCCTACTGAAAGTGCCATAACATTTGTTCTAAATAAAGCAACTGCTCTTTTCTGCTGGCAAACAGAGCTTCAAATGAGGACCTGAGGATGTTCTTCAACTTAAACGGACCATTAAATGAATCATTATTAAATGAAGATTATCCTACTTAGAACATCTGTTTGACAGTAAGAGAACTGCTCCTCAACATAGTTTCAGAGCTGCCTGGAAATCTGGTAACATCACCCCACCTTTTCTCCATGAAAGTGATTTATAAATGCTATTCGCAATTTGGGCTGCTGTGTCTTATCTATTCTGTTCTGGAAAATATAGCAAACAATATACTAACTGTCAAACTCAAGGCAATAAAACTATAATAGTACAGGAAAATGAAGAAAGCAAAACTATCTTGTTTTAGCGAGCAACATAGAGTACATCCTCAGTGGGGATATCCACAGCACACTGACAGGGAGGCACAAGCCAGCTATCTGAAGTCCCTCATATGACACTCTCCCAATTCTTCCACAAACATTATTTTACGCAACAATCCCATGAACCAGATAACAATTAGCCTACTTCTGAGAGAAACAGAAAAATTGTCACTGAATGTCACAATATTCAAAAGCAGTGACAGAGTCAGGATCAGGGTTCAGACTTCAGTCCTCTGAAGCCTGTGTAGTATCTGAAGAGTATTTCCCCAAACCACTTGCTGTCCTGCAAGATTAGACACTGCTCAATCCCTTACTCTGCTTGAAAGAGGTTAAAACTGAAGAGATTAAAGAGTGCCCCATTAAAAAGAGGTAATACAATGAATGCAGTGCATTTCCAAGATATACACTATTTCATCCTCTTGCTTCATAAACTAACACATTTTTAACTACATTGTACTGTACAATAATTTTTACTTTTACAACATAAGACACAAAATGTACGTATATTTTTACTCTTCACTCTATCTAAAACAAAATACACTTGAAGCAACTGTTTAACCTTAGTTTCCAGTAAACTGAGGAAAACAAAACTAGAGGGAAAAGGAATGATTTACACCACTACACCTCCCCTATTATATTGTCATAGGGTGACTCAATAAAAAAGGAGCTATTACACAAACAAAAACCCAGGGTTTAAAGTTTACTGCATGGTCAACTGGATAGTACGCACAACAAATTAGCAACATAAAATTCTTAGTCTATAATCCACATCTCTATAGAGAATCTATAGCCAGAACCTGTGCCGATAATCAACGGATCCTTGTAACTGCCTGCTGTATGAAACAGACTGCATCCATATCCTTTCACAGGACTTCACAGACCTTTATTCACTTGCTTAGTTTTCCCCATGCCCGTGCCCTCTCTCATCCATAGGAATTGTTTATAACTTTGGAGCAATAAGTAGATAATTCTTCTCTTAATCTCCACCTGTAAATTCTGTGTTATGGACCGCTGACTTTTATTTTGACGTTTGTTCTCAAGAACCAACAAGAAAACACACTCTTCGATGAACTACAAAACCACCAGCGCGTTACTTTGATTCCCGCTGGAAGGGTCGCTCCGGCAGTGTGGGAATGTCTAGCCTGACATCCCTCTCGAAGGGCAGCAGCAAACGAGGCGCTGGGCGCTCCTGGAGCTCTCGACCCTCCGGGAAAACCCGCTGGCAGCCGAGGAGCTCCGCGAACCGCGGGAGATGCACCGCGGCCAGCGTCTCAGACTGGAGCGAGGAGGTGGCGAAATATTTACACAGCCTGTCAGTTTCACCCACGCGACTTTGATTATAAACCACGTTTTGCCAAGAGTGCTGCTACCTTCAAAACCCCCGTCCTCGAGTGAAAAACAGTTACCTACTACCTCTGTCCTCGCTGGTACCAAGCCGTGCCATGGCGTACATGACGTTGGCCGCACACCGGCTGGCTGGCCCTGCCTGCCAGGTGCACCTGCCCGCCGCCCGGCTCGGCCGGGGGCCGCCTGCCCCGGGCCGCGGCCGGGCGCGCTGCCGGCCGCGGTGCCGCCCGGCGGGGGCAGCTCCCCGGGCAGCGCTCCCAGCCCAGACGGAGCGCGGGTAACCGCAAGGGCTGCCGCGCTGCGCCCCTGGCCCTCTCCCCGCCCGGGCTGGGCGAACTAACTCAGTCCCGCCGCACTCGGGGGGAGGCGAGGCCGTCCCGTCCCGCCGGCGGTGCCCCCTCGGGCAGCGCCCCCTCGGCGCCTGCCCGCGGGGAGTCCCGCGGCCGCAGGAGGACGCAGCGGCCCGAGCAGCGCGGCGCCTCGCCCGCGGCCCCTCACCTTTTCTTCTCCTTGTCAGCTGTCATCGCGGCGGCTGCTGCCGGCTCCTGCGCCGCCTCTCGGGCCGAGGCGCGCTCAGCACCTGCCCGCGGGACGCGGGGCTCCGCGGGCGAGGAGCGGGGTCCGGTTCGACCGGGTCGCCCCCGAGGCGGGCGTACAGTCTCAGGACACTGCCGAGGATTGTACGGCCCGCCCGGGGGAGGCGGCGGTAGCGGCGGCTGCTGCGGCGGGACAGGAGCGACGCGGCGGCGGGGCTGTACAGCTCGGCGCCGCCCGCAGAAAGTTCTCACTTTAAACCTTGGGCAGCCGCCGGCCGCGGGGGCAGGGCCGGCCCCTCCGCCCGGGACCCGGCCCGCACGGCCCGGCCCCGCCGCGCCGCCGCGCCGGCCAATGGGGGCCCGCGGGGCGCCCCGGGCTCCCCGCCCCCGGCACCGGCCCGGCCGGGGGTCAGCGGGGCCGCTCCGCCCCGCCGGACCGCTCCGGCTGCGGCGGGGCTCCCGCGCACGGGCACCCACCCCTCCGCCGCTTATTTTTTAGTTATTTAAGTTTTTCGTTATTAAACTTTCTTTTTTTTTTTTTTTTTTTTTTTTTTTTTTCCCCGCCGTGGTGTCTCCCCGCCGGTGCGGTCCGAGGGCCGCCGCGACACCTGCCCGGCGGCCGCGGAGCAGCTGCGGTGCTGCCCCGGCACCGAGCGCTGCTCCGGCAAGCGGGGAGCTGCCCCGCACTCGCCCCCTGGAGCGCCCCCCGTTCAGCCCGAGGCATGGGTGTCGAAAAAATAAATGGAATATTACGAAAATAAAAGCCACAAGGACGGTGCGGGCTTGGAGCGACGCCCCGGAGCCATCGCGGGCGTGCGGGGCCGCCCTCGGCCCGGCTCGCACACGGAGGAGCGGGAGTGTGGCAGCAGCTGGGGGCAGAGGGATGTGCAAGGAAGCAAGGGCTGTTCTTTTACCTCCCTGATGGGACTTCCTTCCTCTCCCTGTTTTTTCGATTTTATTTTCTGTGTCATAATGGATATTTCAATTCAGGCACTTTTAAAACTCGTGGTTGATGACACATGGTGGA